CAAAACGTGCAGGGCGGGTTTTCCTTTTCATGTATCAAACATACTTTGATATTGTCGCGACTTGGTGGGGCGGTTTCTCGATCACTTTTGGCGTGGAAAGGCAGCCAACGGCCGGTCCCACCACTCATTTCATCTCCCTAGCATAATCTGTAAAAAACGTAGCGGAGGCGGCTCACCGGCCAGCGGGAGGCGGCGAAAGCTCGTTGGGCGAGTCAAAGGACGCTGAATGGCGCTAGGTCGCTTTGAGCGCGCCCTGTGCAACTCAACACAATGGATGCTTCCCCTTTTCATGTACTTAAAATGTTTACCATATACGCCTGGCCAAGCTGCTCTAAATTTTGACAAATTAAAATATAATTTTTTAGCGAAACGTGCACTGATTGCTCCGTCAATTCGTCAACTACAAACGATATGCTGTGATGTTGGATGCAGTGTGAACGATCTGTTGTCCTATTGTGGACCACTGACAGGATGGTGATGACCAGTATGACAGACATGATGCGGAACGTCGTCGACAACCTTCGTTACATCACATAGGCATCATAGCGGGGTTGACGCTGTCCGTTTTCGATTTCCTTTTGGTTTCTCCGAGTTCTTTGTGGGTTTTACTTGCCTATCTCAAACCAGGCATTTTCTGGTCTCATCTTCTTTACTTAGATCAGTCTACTACTACCATTACTGCTTTACTTCCTATTTCACTATTTAAGCATAGAATATTCCTTGTGGTACATTTTCACATCCATCCATCCATTCCGTTCCATTCTGTAATTCTCGGATAGTTGTTCCTTTTTTGACAATTTTTCGCCATTTCGTAACATAACGTCGTTATGAAACGGATAAAGATCGATCAGTGTTAGTCCAAAGAGAGTGACGAGGAGATCTGGTGGTAGCTCAATGGGGAACATGAGACCGACGATCGCCCCTGATAGCCGAGAATTTGAGCTCACGTACTAACGAGTAACGCCAATGAATAGCTCGAATTAACGGGTGTTATACACAGCTCATCACTTCGGGAACCTGTCCACGTCTCGTCTAAATACAAGGGGGGGGCTCTCCAGAGTGTGGACTCATTCTCAAAACTGTCAGTTGCATTTTGTAGAGGTTTGAAGGCCAGTGGCGCGATAAATCGACAAGGTGTACAGGGTCGATACGCCTGGCACGGAAGAATGTTGCACCCAGGACACATTGGTTGGGGATTTTAGTCGACTCTATACGACCACCCCTCCTTTTTTGGGAGTTGGTACGACCCCCCCCAGCCCTCTGTCCTTCCTCATCGAATCGAGCCGTCGAGTGGGGGGGGGGGGCAGGTAGTACGTTGAAACAGGTAAATCACCAAAAGTCAACCGCCACTCCCACAACGCGAAAACGTAAATACGATCCCCCTCCTCCCAAAAATGATCAAATACGACCCCCCCCCCTTTACAACCTTTACAACGTCCATGAAGCGAGAAAAATCAACTATCAAAATAAATTTTTCTCAGCCCAAATACGACCCCCCTCCTGGCGACCAAATACGACCCCCCTATTGGGGATTCCCCAACAACGATGTGCCCTGGTTGCCACCCCTTGCAGGCGTGCCGCATTTTGGCCGTGCGTGGCGCTTTGTGGCGCATTTTCCACTAAGGTCGCCGTTGTAGCCTGCCGTTTACCAAGGTACAACATGCCGACTCACACGCCCACCACAACCGCCCGCCCACAAATGGCCGAGTGCATTTCGACGCTGGTACTTTTGTCGTCTCATTTATGAAGTATTATTGGTAGGAAGCATTGCTGTATGAGTACATGAATACATACGTGCAGTCGTATTTGCCAAAGCGATTGTCGACACGGATGCCAACGGGAAACTCGTCCAAAAATGCTCGTCCAGTGCCGTGCAGAACTGAGGCTTTCCGCGTTTTGCGCTCATTTAATGGTAGCCTTTTCACTTTCGCACTATAGAGCACCTTCTTACTATTTTCGAGCAAGTACTAAATTATGCTTTATGCCTCTAAGCGTGACCACTGAAATGTTGTTCATTGTTTGCTGCGCACTTCTACCGGTATCAAAGGCGAAGACCGAGATTTGTGCGGTGTTCATTGATGAACTGCGCGCGATATGAGTAGTTATTTTGTTTTTCGAACAAAAGATTCGAAGTGTTCGTTTAACTCGTTTGTGTCAGACAAAAAGGTTCGCGACTTCGTGAACAATGACTTTCGAGGTAATGCAGAACTTCGTCATTCAAAGGGATTCAAACCATAACCTGTCTGTTCAACCTTTCTTAGGCCTTTTCAGAAGCACAGAGCAAAAATGAACAGCACTTTTTGCAGTTCCCGCATGGACCTAAACAACGCCTCACACAATCCGTCTTTTGAAATGCGGAATTGCCAACAGTGATAAGGACTCTCCTTCTTAAGCAGGACACTGCAGGACCTCTTTATAAACCCTTTATTATCAGTCTTAACAATACTGTAGTACTACTCAAATCACAATGAGATAACAGACGCTGAGATCAATGACAGAGATAAAGAAAAAGGAAGACTTTAAATGAGAAAAAGCAGTCACCTCAAGGTCAACCCTCGCCCATCGTTATTTTGACTTGCTCCACTTTTTGACTAAAAAAATCCGCGCGGTGGTAAGGACCCAGTGTGATATAACCCGCTAAACTTCCGCGCGCGTATGTGTGCGGTCTACGGACAACTTGAATTTAATCCCTTTGAACGCGCCGATCTTCTGTTCTTCTATGCACTCTCTCGTCCGCATGGCACTCTGGATTGTGTTGCTGACTTCGCACATTTCAGCTTTTCACGAATTTTAAGTGGTTTACCCACCCATCCCCTAAAAAAGCCGTTTCCTGGCTCGCTACACTCTTCTTGCACGTTTAAAATGCTTAGCAGTGCTCGTCCTCTTATCTGCTGTGAATACAGCGGTTCCAACAACAGGACCAGCGGAAAAAAAACAAAGCATGACACGACATTCATTAGGAGCGGGAAAAGAACAGCCGTTAGAGTTAAGAAAATTGTGTGGGAGGAAGGGCAGTAACACCACGTGTGGGTCACAGAAAGTGATAACAGCTGATAAAATCTGAGAAAAGGGTGTTCGAAAAGGTGGGTCACGAGTTTATAGTATCCCACGAGTAATCAGTGGGACGTTGTATGAGTTGGTCTCAAAAAGGTAAGGGTGTTAAAACGTGAAGCAACCAATGGTGTGTGACAGAACGTGAAGCAGCTGATAGGCGCTCTACAAGGGGCAAACAAGAAGAGCCACCGAATTCGTAGCGCGCGCCTGAGCCAACAGTGGATCGCTGGTTCCAAGACGAGAATATAGCGCAAGCAGTGCTGGTAATGGATAAAGGGTTGAGCTTCCCGCGTTTACCAATCGTGCTAGAGATGCGCCACGCATTCTACCTCCACCTGAGCCGCTAGTAGCGTTTTGGGGCGTGGTTCAGCCTAAACGCACGACGCGCTGCTAAGTATAGTCATTGTTTTCATCGCTCAAATGAGCCCTCTACCGATCGGCCGCTCTTGAATGGATGGAGGGCTTGGTCAGCTCGGGTGGGAATTAATCCAAATCCAACTTCCGCAGAGCGCGTCTTTTTCACGACATCACGTCCAGCTTGAAGCTGACAACGGTCTGGTTGACGAATAGGGTATGTGACCTGTTTGATGTAAGGTGGAGCACACCTTCCCGAGGAGGCGCACAGGCTCATATTTGACTTTAAGAGAGTCATACTTAACGAAGGAGGACATTTGTGGTCTGGCTTTCCCGTGTTTGAAAGTATTACCTTTGCCTCGGCACAAAATTGGAAAGATGGATTTGTGAGTAGAAGACGGATGCGTTCGAAGGTATATGTGCATTGGCGCGTCCCCCATCTTTGGGAAGGGGGGGGGGGGGGAAGGGATGAGCTGTGGTTGCACTGACAGTGTAAGCACACATGCCCGATAGCGTACCTGGCCAACAGCGCGATGCGCACGCGTTCGGGCATAACTCTATTCCCATTACACCGCCATCAGGCACGGGACAAGGTGGTAGCGGAGAGCGAACTCCGCAAGATGGAGAACACTAAGGAATAAGGAGGCATTCTGTCTGTGGGAGATACATTAAGGAATAAGGAGACATTGTCGGTTAGCTATTCAAAAAAGCGTATCCTTTTCCCTCCCGTTTTTTTTTAAACCGAAGGTCAAGGCGGTCGACTTATCCTTGGACGGAAGTCAGTTTAATCGAACAGCTGCACATATATAATTGCGCATGAACACCGTTGAAAACGCGACAGAACTCATTAGAAGAATTTCCGTCGAAAAAGCGGATTTCCAGACCAACTCATCAGACAAGGAGGCATTGATCCGAGGTAACTCCTTCAGACACAGGATTTCTACTCATCCTTTGGTAAGAACGCTGACGGATCTCCTTCAAACCACTGAAAAAGTCAACTTTCAGCTGATCTGACAAAGATGACATACTCAGACGCATACCTCGACCAGAGCTGCACTAGGATTTGTCAAATGCTCCGCTCGAATGACACCTTCGTCAAGAAGAGCCATCTCTTTCCTAGCTGCTTCGATGTAGGCACTGCCATCCATTCCATGCGACGCTAGTACTCCTTGAATATCGTCATTAATGGTGTCAGGACGAGATTGCAAAGAAAATACCCACGCGCCAGTAGACTCGGAAGGGGGACGCAGCAAATCCCTGTGAACCTCTTGGGCCACATTTCAATATCCAGGGCTGTGACAGGGATACGACCCCCCCCCCCTTAGGGATCGGATCGCCACCGAATGGCGATCCCTAAGGAGGGGGTGGGGGTCGCACTGACACTGCCATTCCACCCATCCCGATGCTGCACCCTCCTATCCTGTGCTGAGAGGCACCACTTTGTAGCCTTGCAGTAGTTCACCGAATTTTTCCAAATCGGCCAGCTAGCTGGCAGGAGTTTACAAAACGCCAACTTCCCCCCCCCCCTCGTGGTGAACTTGCACAAATACTCACTGGCCATCGTGTTATTACTCCAACAATGTAACGAGTGATCATGACCTTTTCTTACTCCAATCCAGCGTTGGTAGAATTACCTAAAACGAAAGCAAACTCATTACTTTGTCGATCTAAAAAGCACAGAACACTTCATGAAAAGATAAAATAACCTGAATCTCAACAAAATAGAATCATTTGGAGATTCAAAGCTAAATTAAACTAACGGAAAATATTCAAATACCTCAGCGTTAACCGGGACGAAAATCGAAAACAGTAACACTGAAAGGCCATGAAGCCGGAACAGATCTTCTGTTTTTGCCGTTTCCATACATTCCGCTATTAACGTCCTGAAAAAAATCGCACAGGAATGAGGACTTCGCGAGTTAAATTCGTATTGTAGAAAAGATTCGTCTATTTGAAAAGGGTTTTTGTATTAGTTCAAAGGCACTTTCTACAACCGTAATCGTATGGGCGGGATCAGAAAACAACTTCAATTCTGTGCCTCTCCGCTATGGAAGAAAAGGCACACCAATGAACAAGGCAGAATGGCTTTCTGTGTCTGCCCCTCCGGCAGCCGCAGAATGAGCCTTTGCGAAGAAACGCGACTTTTGGAATGTTTCAGACATCCCATGGTCGGCATCGCACCTAAGCCAACATTCCTAGGTAGTTGGCTCGACGCACTAGGTACCCATACCAGTGGCGAAAAATTTTGCAAAATACGACCCTCACCATAGGGTTCTCATCTGGTATGATTCTCCTTTTTCCCATCCCCCCCGCTGGCCACCATGCATCGTCCTAAATTTACCCACCTCACCCATCCCCTCTTTTTTCCCGTCGGTTTTTTTTTTTCAAATATTCCTCCCAATCAGGACTCCCTACGGACACAGCATGTGGTCGCTTGACACCTGAGGTAAGACGTCATATAGCAGGGAATAAGGGGTGCGTCTTACAATATTTACAATAAATCTGACAGAAAAAAGCTGTCTTGAGGCAACTAACTAGAATTCCAGCCGGCTTGGTGTCCGATGCCACGCTTTGTATGCTCTACACTCGATCCCTAGCAAATATAACCCAAGAAAACTTCGTACGAACTGACCTGCATTCCGCTATTTTGTTCAGAAGATAGGCGTGGAAGGCATGCAGAAACTGAGCGTTGTTACGAACGATCAATGAGCAACTCGATATTCGGTTCGGTGTTAACCTACAAGTTGGTTTATTCAATCAACCCATAAAGTTTGTATAAAAAACATTTATAATTTACGATTCGGTGGCGCAGATTCAGCGATTTTTATCGCAGTTTCGGCCATGGCTGAGAGGCATTTTACTGTTTACAATCGACGAACTACCGATACCTCTTTGCTGAAGAAGCGTGCTTTTTTCTTTGAGCGGCTTTGCAAAAAGCAGGAGCTTCAAAGTTAACAAGAGTATACAGGTTTCACCAAGATAAAGACCTGTAAGTTAACAGGAACTAGCAAAAGGAACTAGAGAAAAAGCAAAATGCCCCCTCTCAGTCGAACAGCGCCCGATTTTTTGATTCATTCGACTAGCGCGGTAGAATCGCCAGCTTACCGCAAACTATGGGCGCTTTTTCAAAAAAAAAGAAAAAAAAAAAACTCACTGGTCAGCTATTTCGTAGAACTCAGCGTGCTTGCACTGAGCAAGGTAGGTGATGGCAAGATTCACATGGGCCATCACCCACATGTTCTTGTCTTTGCATGATTTAAACTGCAAACTAGTATATTGGCAGTATGAAAAAGAAGGAACCATTACAATTTCTCTTTGAATAAGATTTCAACTTACTTTAGTAGCAGCAAGAAAGTGTTTTTCTGCAGCTTCTGGTTCACGAAGATAAGAGCAGTAATGGCCCTAGAGAGACAACTATCGAATACTGCATTCATAAAGACAGGTCAAGTGAAAGGAACATACCAGCAGAGACTGAATAGCTGGTCCGAACTCCTCAAATAACACCCCGCCATGTCGCTGACTGTACTGCACCATGTCACGGATCTAAAATAAGGGAAACTGCCATCATAAAAAATGAGGTCTTTGAGATAGTAAAAAAAATCAGGTGCAGTTAGGCTGGCGGGGCTTTCTGCCGGTTGGAATCAATCGCTCCGATGCTCTTGTGGACAGCTGCAAATTCCTGTATGTTACATGAGAGCGTGGAAATGAGCCTGAAGTGTTTGAAACCCCACTCGCGCGATCCTCAAAGTGCAGCATTTGCGTCCATGCCAAGGTTCAAAAAAAGGTAGTCAGTGTTGGAGAGCAACCAGAAGTGAGAGGGCGCAGACAAGTAGCGCGTTTGGCTATAGATAGGCGTGTGGCTGGCCGTGCGGCAGGGTGGGGGAGTCCCAGGTGGCACCCGAGTTTTACTACCCTCCAGCCCCTTTTTCGCGGGCTCTCAAATGACGAAAGTGTTGCATCTGTCCATCTGTCAATCGTTCTCCCCGAACATGACAAGGAGCAGTGTACAGCATGTCATTAAGGGGGTCCATGTATCAAAGGTAAATCAAAACTATCAAAAGGACGCTCACATTATCCATTGCCATGCTTGGATGACAAGCCATGATATTGCACAAGGCCATCATCTCGTTCAAAGCCATTCGCATCCGCTGAACGCTTCGGAGTATCCCATATTCGCATGGATTTCTTGAGGACTGAAGAAGATCTCCTTGAGAAAACCGAACAGAACACTGATGATTCGCTGATAATCATCAATAACTAACCCTTGCATTGTAGTCCTGAATATGTCGCACAGCTATTGTATAGTACTTCGCCGCTCGTTCATAGTTGCACTGCAGAGCTGAGTTGACGATAGTCATCAAACAGGCAAATACGGTCAACGGCACAGTGTCCATCCATCTGAAAAATTGGCCACTTTTGATAACACCTTATTAGAACCTCAAAAAAACAATGCGGCGAAATCGAGCAGGTTTTGCCGTTGGCGAGAACTTCTCCACTATACGACCCCGCTCAAAATCCCCTTCTCTGATACGACCCCCTTTCCCATCCTACCAACCATGCTCCTAGATTCTCTCTACTTCCTATTATCTATTTCTTTTTTCTTTCTTATTATTTCTTTTTGGAAATTCCTCCATGTACAGAAAAAGGAAGGGGAACCCACGCCGGATGGAATTTAAAGCCAGTGAGTGATGAAAAAAGGGCCAGCTACTGGATTCAGTGGTGAGAATCATCAGCAACCTCAAACCCTAACATAGCGGTAATATAGGGCAACTGAGAGAGGGAAGGTCAGTCACTCCGGAAATGAATTACCAGTAGTAGGAGAGATTATTGTTGAAAAACATACCGCATTCCCGTTTGAACACAAGCGCCATCCTTACTTAGAGCTTGCACCTCAGACTGCAGCGTTCGCAGATGTTGGCGCGATGAGCGCGTCTGAAGAAACAACAAAATCAACATTTTAGTACTATTAATCACAACAGCAATGCCTACATAAGGCTGCCACTCAAACTAGTTAAAGAATCCATTCACATTCATTTCATTACGATATTTGAGGCTCACACCTTTGAGATGGATGGAGAGGGGGGGCGAAGAATTGCATTGAAGGAGCGTCCGTTTGGAACTGCAGAACTAGGCCTACTGCCATGTACTCGAACTGTATAGCTTGAAATAGGTAAGTTTTTTTGCTACGGATTGAATATTTGGCCAGGACAATAAGTTGTCAGAACATATGACACCCTCAAAAAGAACCATGACACGTTCAGGTAGACCCCTCAATTCCAGGACTCTTTAAAGGAATAAATCTTGTGTTATTTTAGTACATTCACATTCCAGTTATCCAAGTTGAGAGCTAATGCAGAAAGCTCTATGCCTGAAGGCAAGAACTCATTTCTTATGCAAATCTGCAGCTGTTCCCCATCAAAAATAGGCTTCTTTCCATTACGAATGGCTTGCATAATAACCCCGTTCTAGAGCTTCCGTGGCCTTATTTTACTGCCTTACCCTACAGTAGCACAGTCGAAGAATGCGGTGAAAATCAAACTATCCCAATATGTTTGCCTTCGCTAACATAGCCACTTATTGCGATATGTAAGCGCTCAGCTGAGCAAACATTGCGCTGGTTGGTGACATCCCTATTCCTCATTGCTTCCGTCACGTACTACCATTCTTTGCTTTAACACTGACTCACTCAACCACGATAAGTTCCGAAAAAAAATAGATCCCACTACATCCCCTCCCCCCACCCACTAATAAAATAGACTTACAAACGATCTATAGTGCATACTACGGACCTTAAGGGCACATATCGCGATGGGAATGTGCGGGTAATAATGTCAAAACAGGAATCAGTAGGCGCCAAATAATCAACAATGGGGAAAAAGGCTGACTAAATAGTCGAGAATGCACTAAGCGATGATCTTTTTAAGTTTTCACGAGCTTACCAACGTCTGGCCGAGATTCAAGAGAATTTTAACCCTATGCCAACAATTTGACACGGCCACCACCTAAAATATCCCACTAATTTTCTGATGTGCATTTCATTATAAACCATGAGTCCTGTTCATTTGCTAAACGGTGAAAAAGGGAGACAGCCTATGCGGCTACGAGCAGCATTTGCCAAGTGGATTTCTTCTCAATGATAAACACGAAATTTGTCACTGAAGACAAGAAATTACCGATGTGATTCCGAAGATATCTTGATGAGATAATGTCCCGCAGACGGGCGAGGGGGGGTGGCACAGCGCATCATGCGAGCAGGTTTGGACGGTCGCGCTTTTGCTGTTTGAGGAAAACCGTAATCAAATGTCAGTTGTCACAAACGGAAATATCCAACGAAAACGCATCCTGCGCCGCATCCTGTGCCGTGCGGAACCACTCCCCCTTCTCACTTCGGGATATACAGTGCGTAACAAAAGTATGA